CCTCTTTTCACTTCCCGTGGTGTAAAGTGTTTCTTAGACTCCTTGTGATACATCTGGTGCTGTGACATACATTTTCCAAAACATGAGAGCAAGCTTATAACTAAGATAAACACAACAGAGTGCCTACAACTGTGTTCAATCAAATATAGAATAGAGGAAGCTGTGCAAAATGTTTACAATATGTGTCCAGTTGTTTATCCAAGTTACTGTGTTACTACCTCTCACAGAAGTTTGCAATTGCATGTTTTCAGACTGGTTATTGTAAGCTTTTCCTATCCCTTCGTCCCACTCAGGTGATGGTGGAGCCGTTGCTTACGCCCTTGTGACCGGCTCAGACCGCAAGTTTGAGGTGGATGTGAGCACTGGCCTGGTAACCACTGTGGACTACCTGGACTACGAGACCAAGACCACCTATCTGATGAACGTCTCTGTCACTGACCAAGCCCCCCCTTTCCACAAAGGCTTCTGCACCGTCTACGTCACGCTGCTCAATGAGCTGGACGAGGCCGTGGCCTTCTTATCCGCCGGGTACGAGGTTTCGCTTCGTGAGAACATCGCCACGGGGACCCAGGTGACCCAGGTGCAGGCCCAGTCAGCTGACAACCTGAACCAGTTGACTTACCGCTTTGACCCTGACACATCGCCTTCCGCTCTGGCCCTCTTCAAGATAGACAGCGTCACGGTGAGTTGGAGGAGCAGTGGAAGAGGAGGAGCAGTGGAAGAAGATATCAATACAATGTACATTTTTGTTCACTAACAAGACTACACCCACCTTCTGACAAAAATGCTTCATCCATTAACCAGTGTGTGATTCAATGACACCTCTCCCCCTGTGATTTAAGATTGCCGCTGTATGACTGTAAACTGATCAAAGAGCTTGTTTGCTTTGAAGTCATTTGATTCCTTTTGTAGATGAGAAATGGGATGTTTTCTGTTGTGGTGACTTGTATGATACTGTTAGTCTATGGCTTTGTTACATTAGTAGACATCTATCTTATAGGATGTGACAATGTGTGTGTTGTTTCAGGGCCGTATCACAGTGACCGGCCTGCTGGACAGAGAGAAAGGCGATATGTACACCTTAACTGTTGTCGCTGATGATGGAGGACCCAAAAAGGACTCCACTGTGGTATGCTTTATTCTGAATTTGATTATTTAATCTCCCTTCTTCTGTGTACAACGTTCTTTTTAATACAGCGTGTGTCATGTTTACTCTGTTGTAGAAAACCTAATGGCATTCCTCTTTCTGCATTCTGATTTTATTCATTGCATCTCTCATTGGAAGTGCAGAAGGTAAGACTTCTGATCTTTTAAGATGGCAACATGAAATGTATTCATCTGCATGATTTTACTTTCTTTAGTTATTTCATATATCGCAAAGGTAAGTATTTATTTGATTTTGAAAGTTATGGAGCCCATATTTTATATTACCTCTATACAGGTTTCGATCACAATCCTGGATGAGAATGACAACAGTCCAGAGTTTGACATCACATCCGATACTTCAGTGGACATCCGAGAGAACACAGCCTTGGGGAAAAAAGTGGCAGTCGTGCTGGGAAGGGACAGAGATGCTGGATTCAACGGAATGGTGAGGATAACTAAAAGAAAGATGGAAACACATGGACTAGTGACAGATTTAATTATAATGTGTGGCTCTTAAACATAAATGGATATACACTGCTTTACAGCAATTAGCCAAATGAATAACATCACAAAACACAAACATATTCCCGGAACTGAAAACTATGCCGGATTGTACAGCTTTTAAACATAACATGTTGATTTAAATGAGGTCAACTACATCAACCAAGTATGTTTAAATGAGGAACTTGACTCTGGCATTTCCAATAACAAGTTCAGGAAGTTTAGCACCACATTTTTCTTCTTACACTCTGCATGTGTTACTTTTCTCCTAACCAACACAGCCCCTTGTGTCCCTCAGTCAAAAAACGCAGTTGCATTACTTGGGTATTTGTCTCCTCTTGGTTCTGTTACTCAATGAGGGGTCTCATTTGTGCTCCCCATGTATTCTTTAACATGTGCTGTGATTTATTCTGGATTTATAACCTGCACAGCCACATTAGGGTGATCCTTAAAATTGAAAGTCGGAAAGTCTAAGCTCCAACCCCCAGAATTCAATTCCGACTTTCAATTTTCAATTTTAAGGACCACCCTACGTGAGGCTAAACTTCAAGGGTGATGAGGGAGGGGTAAATATTGTTGGAATTTGAATAAAATTCACCAGGAGAGTTCTCTTGACGAGTATAACGAATTCCGGTGGCTGAAGCTTAAAATAAATGAATTCAAAAAATGTACCTCTCACGAAGGACCACCCTAAGCCAACAACTATCTTTCTCTCTCTCTCTCTCTCTCTCTCTCTCTCTCTCTCTCTCTCTCTCTCTCTCTCTCTCTCTCTCTCTCTCTCTCTCTCTCTCTCTCTCTCTCTCTCTCTCCTGTCTTATTCTGACTCATTACTCTCTCTCAGGTCAATTTCACTCTGGTGGCAGGCAACATGGAGGACGTGTTCAAGATCAAGACTGTGAACAACACCTATGGGGAGGTTTTTGTCAACGCTCCTCTGGACAGGGAGTCAGTAGACCGCTACCTGCTGAAGGTCAGGCAGCAATCCACATGTTATGATGATATCACTCGCCATAAAAAGATATATTTTCTGGTCATATACACATTTAACATTTAAACCATAACCTTGAATTACTGTCCAACATCAGCACAAAAATAACCCGATGCCTTGTAACACTTGTTTCATGAAAAAATACTTTGTTACAACATAGTGGACAATGCAAGTAATGTGTTGTAGTTTTCAAACTCACATGATCATATCAAAATATGAATATTAATACAAACATAAAGGACAGCACTGTGTTTTTATGAGGCAAGGTGCATGTCAGACTTACTTACTAGTATAAACCGGTGCATGTGTATGTTGTTACAGGTTCGTGCCATTGACGGTGGCTCACCTCCTAGATACTCTGACCACTCCCTCACCATCAACATCCTGGACATCAATGACAACGCACCTGTCATAGAAAGCTTGAAGGGCTACAACGTCAGCATCAGTGAAGTAGGGATGCATTACCACATTTTAATCTTTCTGTTATCCACACATGATTTACAGGTTTCTATTGTTTTGTATGTATCTAAAGCAGTGGTTCCCAACCTGGGGGGCGCCAAAGATCGCAGGGGGGGCGCCAGGCCTCAGATGATTTGAGGCCTTTTTAATTGATTAATTAATTTGAATACAAATTCAAGTTAGTAGCTAATAAAGACTATAAAAAGACAGAAATGTATAATTCTTTCTTTAATAGAAATGTTTCTTCTGCCCGTAAAGTGTCCAAACCGGGCTTTTCTGGATAAGCGCATTTTTAAAACATAGTCATTGTCCATGCTGGTTTCAGTTGGTTTATTTGTCACAGTTGCTCCGATCAGATCGGTCTCCTCCATTTTGTAGATTATTTACGACTTTTGAATTCACATAACCACTTTGGTAAAATCCGGCTTCCTTTGAGCATGTGTTTTAAACAGTTTAATCCCTTTGTGAATTGTTTCCACTTGCGCCGTCCTTTAATGTCTTCATACAGCGGGAATCCAAATGAATTAATCCTGAGTCCAATAACCATCAAAGTCACTCCAATAGTGCTCCTTAATTACGCTTTTGTCCTCCATTAACAAAAGACTTCACATTCATCCAGTTTGTGACAGTAGTTGTAGCATTTTGAGACTTTTAAACTTTAATTACCACTGTTGCGACCCCCCCCCCCCCCCCCTGTGTGTGTGTGGGGGGGGGCGCAACTTCCAACAGGAGTCATTTGGGGGGGCTCTTGGGAAAAAAGGTTGGGAACCCCTGATCTAAAGTAATGTGATCAGTTCTAATTTGTGATCACATGGTTTGTGTTTTTGGCCTTCTTTGTATTATGTGTATTGTAGAATGTTGGCGGAGGTACATCAGTGCTCCGTGTGATAGCTACAGACCAAGACATCGGGCCCAACGCCATGCTGTTCTATTACATCACTGCTGGAAACCAGGACCTGACCTTCCGCATGGACCGTGTCACCGGAGAGATGGTGACACGGCCGGCCCCCCCCGACCGAGAGCGCCAGCAAGAGTACCGACTTACTGTCACTGTGGAAGACGACGGCACGCCACCTCTGTCGGTAAGATACAGGCAACAGCAACCAAAACGTTCATTGACCAACTTAATACACCCTTTTTCACAAAGTAAAATCCAGAAACCTCTACAAAGGGATGACTTCCTCTTGGCAAAGAGGGGTCATTTGGGGGACTCAGCATCACATCTTCTAAAAGAGCCCTTCTTTCGCGGTTGTTGTACAATCTGGAAGATGTACTTATTCCTGGAAGGCTGTATATCTGTTACCTGCCTTTTCTATACCTGCCTTAAATCAAGATACAGCATAAATTAGATATGAAACAAACATGCCCAGCAAATTAAATGCAATGGTTGGTTGATCTTCTGTAGTAACTGATCAGCTGTGAAGGCACAGGAAACAACTTAGTTTGTAAACAGGAAAGCCACAAGTCATATTTCCATGTCGCTTTTCCTGTTGTCTGTCTCATTTTAAAGGCTTTTGAAAACAGGTTTATGTTGCACCTGTATTCGTTTTTAAAACCGTAAGATGTGTAGAACCAACCTATAATAATGCAGCTCTTGTTAATGTAAGATATAAAATCAACTGTAAAAAACTGGAGAGGAAATATCCAGCAACAGCCCCCCCCCCCTCCTCCCATCTAGCTCTCTGTCTCCTCTCATAAAGCAAGATACCAAGATTGTTTTATCATTTTCTCCCCTCAATGCCAGTCTCCCTCTGGTGTGCACCATCTTAGAGGCACACAAGCAGAACAACCTTGTTCCGTCTGTAATGGCTCCCTAGGCATGAAGTGCAGCACAGCCTTGTGTGGTGATAGTTTTGGAGACCCGCCAGCTGAAAGGAACAATGATTTCAAAGACTAGACACATGGCTTTAAGGTTTTAAGAGCTCCACTTTATTATACAAGCTACAACCAACGCTATTCAAATGCAATATAAACTGTGAAACAAAAAGGCTATTTCAGCACTCCTCCATGTCTGCATCCAATGCAAGCTTTGCACAGTATAAAACACGCTTTCAAACATTCAGATGCAGAATTGCATGCAAGTATGCACACACAGACCACCAAACCACAAACCTATTCTTGAAACTTCAACCCAATTACACACACATACACACATACTCAAATTCACACATTTAAAAACCTTGATTACTCTTTATCAAAGAATTCAAATTTAAAACAGAAAGATACCCTGTCCTACTTACCTGCTACATATCATTTTGAGATGATTTCCGCTGAGCACCTGCTGTACACATTTAACCTCAATATGAAATAACCACCAGTGGTTTCTCACAGTCACACGCAGCCTACGTAATAGGCATTCACATAACAGTCATTACCAATCACTTCTTGTTCTCTCTCAATCGACCTCAATATGATATGGTTAGCAATTTGAATGCCATTAAGCCATGTTTGCTTAATAGTATTTACTCGTTAACATCACATTGCATGCTCACACATATGAATGAACACTTATATACACATCACATCTATGATACTGTTTTCTTATAGCAATCTGTTACATTCAGGACAAAAATAATCATCATTTTATTCATGATCTCTTAACTTTACATGAGCAGGAATGAGATTCATGAACAATTATTAATACAAAAACATTTGAATGTTTAAAGCCACTGTGAAGTGCTGCGTTTCTGATAGTAGGAAGTAATGAGAGTATTTAGAGCAGCAGAGCTGACAGTAACTGAGGTAGCAAAGAGGGAAGAGAAAATAAGCTGGGGCCTAGTGGAATGATACAGAGGAAGTCTGTAATGCTTTAAAAACACTTTGTATCCTCCTTTGGTATGAAGCTATTGAAGCACTTTGCTATAAAGATAGGGATCATAGAGAGCCTTTGGCAACTTACTAGAAAAATAAATATGAATTGTTGTTTCGGTCCTTTTGGTGTTCCTAATGACCCCTTGAAGAGTTTAAGTGATTGTCATTATTTATTGGCATTGGTAAAAAAACTAGTTTACTCCATTATCTGACAGCCAGTGATAAATAATATGTATTCAACGTCGTAATGTAGGAATCATTATGTTTACCAAATCCTTCTACGTCTTATATTATTAGATCGTTTCTTTGACAGTTTCATCCATCAAATGGATTATGTCAATTTGGTCACGTTATTGAGATTATTGTCATTTACTTTCTATCACATAATTGTATGTTTGGTTGTCTTTGCATCCGCACCACAGACAAACCGCACCAGAGCAGATTGGGTCTGCACCAGATTGAATCACAGAGCGCACACCAGCCTAAATAAACGACACAGACAAGCAATATCATACTAGGTGCTCTTTGAATCCACAGAACAAGTTTTATCCCTTTTGACATGCCACCCCTCACATGGTGGACCCCCATCCCCTCTGGATTTTTCTCAAGCAGCGGGCACCTGTCGGTCCCGGAGTCATTGTCAGTGTGTAGAAGTAACATCACACACAAACCAATATCTCAACTGCACACCGGCAGAAGTATGCTTTTGGCCTCCAGCTGTTGTTGCAGGTGGAAATAGTTTTTAAATAAAAACCGCAGTCTGATCCCTCCAGCGGTCCAGACAATGTACAGACGAAGATCCCAGCAGAGGTTATTGTGAGACAGCTGATAAGGGCAACATCCCACCGGAGGCAGCAAGAAGAGGAAGAGAGTAGCAGGACTGTTTCCAGGTCAGCAGGTTCCAGCCCCCTTTAAACCTGCATGAAGTCTTGAGTTTCAAAGATGGTGTCTGTAATAGAGAATAGAGCATGTCAGAGAGAGCATAGAGAAGGCAGTGGGTGATCTACGTGCATCAACCCACACAAATGAACATTTTATGTCTTTGTGCTGATCTTTGAAAATGTAGATATGTGAGAGTTAACATCTTAAATACTGCACTTCCTGCCCGAAAATAGGGACAAATCTTGTCAAAATGCGCACGATAGCATTTCTTTTTCCACTCCTCTTAGTACAAATAAACAGAGACCAATAGGTTCCTCAGAATAAGATATTTTTGCTCGGAACCCATTGAAAAGCAGAACAAAGAGGCCTATTGTTTTTGTTGCGAAACATTGACGATAAGAGGGAACTGCTGCAAGTTAAATTCCTCAAAGCTAAAGGTCAGTGAGCCAAAAAGATGACCAAGGCAGCTGAAATGTGGATTCTATCCATGTTACACAGAACCACAGACAAGAAACAACGCTTCTGGATCATTTTGAAGACTGATAAAGGAAATAAGCTTACACTGCAAAGATAAAAGATATCAGGGGTTTGATGGTTTTATGAGTCAATTACATACAAACATAGATGTAGCTAGATATGAAACCAAGAATATTCTATCAGGACCCAATGTTTAAGGTCACAGGAACAGCATATGCCATGGTTAAGGGTTGGTTTTCAGACTTGTTTTGTTCTTTCCTCTGTACCATCATAGACACGGCTGCCAGGAAGCAGGGCAATCCAGCTCAGTATGCCTGGAATGTCTGCACAGGTGCCCCGGGAATCGGTAGAAAAACACTCAGAATTGAAGCTCTTCACCGTAACTAATGTTTCAGTATTATTTCAAGTCGAGTCTGAGCGAAAGGCTGAAGGGCCCATTAGTGTTAAATGAGAGTGCTGATGGGTGGAGAATGACTTACGAGTGAGGCAAGACAAGAATTCAGAGGATGACAGCGTAAGAAGGAGCTTTCAATTGTGTGGAGGAGCGAAATTAAATTCCTACACAGAATATTTGTTAGTCATATAAGACTCAATGCAGCTGGTTTGAGTGTGAGCGTGCACTTTTGCACAAGAATGTGCGCATTCTCCCCGCCAACACTTTACCACACGCAGGATGTTTCAGCAGAAGCGCAAAGCCATGGTTCTTCTTTGATTGCATCACATACCGGTTGTGCATTTGGAAATGAGTATTTCCAGAACTCCTTGTGCAATACTGTTACGTGCCTCTAGTCAAGTACTTTAGTCATTGTAGTATCAAACAAGAATGTGAAGGAAGTCAAGTGTATGCATTCAGAGTGAAGTCAATAAGTTGTGACTTACGATTAGATATAGTACACACTCACAGCTTAACTTAAAGTGAGTTATCTCATATGCTGGTTTTTATTGTGTTATGATGCTAGTCATAGTGAGATTTTGGGGAAAACTGAACATAATAGGTTAGAGATTGGTATGTGCCAGCCTGTGCTGAGTCATTTAGGCTGCAGTCAAAAAGTATTTCTAACTGAGTGGAATGTGCTGGAAGTGGCAGCCGTGATAAGCACTAGTCGAACTCTCTAAAGCAGGGCTCTCCAACACGTCGATCCGGCAGCTTTTCAGTAGCTCGCCGCTCGATTATCGATTTATAGCGTAGTAAGGTTGCTTCTTGATTTTTTGGCCGCGGCAGGACAATAACGTTTTTTATTTTAGAAATGTTTCTGTCACACGAATATCAAATTGTTCGCTGACGCAGAGATCAAGGAACAGATGTGACAGCGGCACAGCGACACCACACACGGAGCAGCAACACCAGTCCAGAACCAACAGCAGAATGACCCGCTCTGAATCAGGCCTGTGTCGCTGCGGCTCAGAGACACACAGGGAGGGATTTGTGTTTTTTTAAAACACTCGTTATCGTCATGTCAGGTTTTTGGTGGATTTAATCAAGTCTTGGATCGCAGAGTATGAATGTCCTCTTGCTATTTTCAGTTGATAAATACTTGTGTGAAGTTTGTGAAGGCAGGAGGAAAGCTTCCGCGATCACGTCTCCTCTCCGTTCCACCAAACCCCGCCCCCTCCCTGAAAATAATGAGTGACAGGCTGATAGTGACCCGATAGAAACTTTATTATTCACTTAATCACTGATTGAGATATGATGAAGCTAATTTAGTCTCATACATTCATGGGAGTAAGACAACAGTAAGACAGAGAATGTGAGTGTGCCCACATGCAGTATTTTGGTTTTTATAATGCTGTTGTCTGCTGTGTTCAGACTCAAGTCATGTGTGTGATGCCACATTGAAGACATTCAGTGTCTTTTTTTAACAGAAGACCGTAGCTAGAAGCTGCAGCTAGACTGCAGAAGTATTCATTTTTTGTTTTTGAGGATGGAACAACTTCACACACAGATATAGGGAGGCTAGACCTACACAATTTATTTATTATGGTTTATAATTTCATGTCAAGACGATGAAGAAGAAGAAAAAGATGTCTGAACTGTTCAGTGTCAATCCTGTGGAGATGGAGGTTATACATCTCCAAAGTCATGTTCAGCTTAAGTCTCAGCAAAACTCACAACATTTCTGGAGCCTTGTAGACCCAGAAAACTATAAGAACATCACCAAGCAGCACTGAACATACTGCTTTATTTGGCTCTACAGACCTTTGTGAAGCAGCTTTTTCTGGCATGAATGTCATGAAATCTAAATAAAGAACAAGACTGACTGATCAACATTTAAATGACTATTAGAGTGAACCTAAGTGGGTCCAGCCTCTATGGTGGACTCCATGCAGTGCCATTCATCTCACTGACTGTACAAAAGAGTGAATGCACTTATTTGACCATAAGTGCATAAGATGCTTGTAAGGTGGCGATTAAGGACATGTATGTGAATTCTCAGTGAAGTACTTACTATGTGGGCCATAATAATATGTGAGACATTTTCGTTTTCTTGGACCTTGATGTGAAGATTTTTGATAAGCTTTAGGTATCAATTTCACACGTGTACAAAAGTATAGCTTAATTCAACTGATGAGTGCTATGTGAATAAATGTAAGCGATGTGATGGAAGTAGCTCTTGGCCACTTTCATTTTTTCAAAGTAGCTCTCAGATGAAGAAAGGTTGGAGACCCCTGCTCTAAAGGCTAAGGAAAAGTGCCTCAGCGCTTTTTTATCTCCTTCAGATAGGGAACACTGGACCAACCTTTTTCCAAAAGAAGAACAGAAATTGGTCACAACTTCTGTTTTTTTAGAAAAAGACATTTCTACTCTTCTACTGCAGCATTAGTGTCCATGTCCATAAGCTTGTATCAATTCCTATATTTTGGCCCTAGTATCGTGTTCCCTTTAGTATGAGTTGCTTTTGTTTTGTCGGGTTGTATATTTGTGTGTGTGTGTCCTACCTTCTATTGGGAAGAATACATCCCCATGTGCAGGAGGAGAGAGGGGGGTTCCGGGCTCGGACAACAGGTGGCGTCCTGTCTCTGAGGATTGCCTGGTCATGATTTGAGAAACTGTCCGGGTCTTAATCTGCGGAGATCCTCCAAGAAACACAGGGTTCTCATGTCCAAGAGCCTCACTGAAAACATGCAAAGAACACACCACAAAAGGGAAGCATAACGATGAGTACGACATTGCCAGAATGACCCAATAAACTGTTTCAACACTTATCTGTTGCTCAAGACCTCAAATACTCAAATTCTTCCTGTTGTAAGCCATTAAACTGTCCCCCACTGCGCTGTTAAATAAGCCATCAGATTTTCCGCTAAATAACATCCATTGTTACATAAAATGACATACTGTGTACAGCCAATTAAAGACTGCCAATGTTCTGGCAGAAGTCCTTTTTGTAGTAGTGTTATGTCTCAAAAGGACTCTAGTAATGATTTGTTGATTTACTGAAGCTGTTTCTAGATCTTTACCAAACAAAGGTTCATGGATATGATGCTTATTTTGGTCTAATCTACCTAGTGGAGGAAAACGGTTGTCTGTATTGGAATATCCATGTACTCAGTGTTATTATTCTGGAACGCAGCTGTGTTTTGAACCTCGCCTAGACTGTGGGAAAACGTACCTGTCCATCCTCACCAGCTCCTGTGCACCTGTGAGAGAGGAAATAGGAAATGGGCCATTGTGAGTGAATTGAAACGGAGCGGAACACTTTAGATAGAGTGTGAATGGGCTTCCTAATGTGTGTGTGTGTGTGTGTGTGTGTGTGTGTGTGTGTGTGTGTGTGTGTGTGTGTGTGTGTGTGTGTGTGTGTGTGTGTGTGTGTGTGTGTGTGTGTGTGTGTGTGTGTGTGTGTGTGTGTGTGTGTGTGTGTGTGTGTGTGTGTGTGTGTGTGTGTGTGTGTGTGTGTGTGTGTGTGTGTGTGTGTGTGTGATACTTACGTCTGCTCGAATGGCTGCTCTGCCTCTGTTTGTACACAAGCACCATAATAAGAGGCAGGAAAAGCAGAGTCAAGATGAAGGCTGCTATGGCCCCGGCCACTGGAGCGAAGCCTTGGGGAAGCAACAGAGGCTGTGTGTTAAACCGACAGTATACCCAGCCAGTCATATATTTGCTATGAAGGCTTGAATAAGGTGCCATACCTCCAGTTTGAGAGGGATCCTGGACAGTGCAGTTTAGAGATCCATTGCTTCCTGGAAAGAAAAAAAGACAAATACATTGTTTCTCACATGTAGGAAATCACATTGTAGGATTAGTCTGGGTTTTTTAATTGCAACATCAGCAGTTTATAATATGATAACTTACTACAAATTCACAAAGGGCTGGGCAATATAAAGAAAATCATATATCACAACTTTTTTTGATTGATATACATTTTTGGACGATATTCTAGTATTGTCAATTAATGCTTTCTCAAAATATTTACACAGAGTATTTAGATAAATTATCATCAGTAATGTGGATTTAATGACTAAGAAGGTTAAGCCAATTAAAATAACTTTTGGAACAGGATGGTAAAATATGAAAATTACTTAATGCATGAAAAGACAACACTTTGATATTACGATATCCAAAACCAAGACAAGTCTAATATCACCATATTAAAGTGATATATTTCCCAGCCCTACATTCACACCCATACATTTGATGTGCTTACGTGGTGTTACTTGGAGGGTGATGTGGCTGTGGGGTCTCTGCACGATGGTGCCGTGTTTGTGGCCCTTCTCTATGTCCAGCACCATACAGCAGTAACGACCTTGGTCGGCGTGGGTCAAATTCTGCAGAACGACCCAGAAGTTGAGCTCTGATGATCCAAATTTAAGCCCTGCCGGCAAGCTGTGGTTGCCATGGTAATGACCGCCCACGACAATATGGCGCGGGCCCGTCCGTCCCGTACACTGCTGCTCTCTGTGGGGGGTGTAGAGCCAGGCATGCTTCAAGACATCGCTGTGGTGCAAGGCGGCTCCTTTCTGGGCGCACACCATCTGGACCGTAGCACCCTCGGGACAGATGTAGTTCAGGTGGGTCGCTAAAACACTGAGGGTGGGGTGGGCACGGGACATCTCGCCTTCACCTAAAGAGAAAATACATGTATGAAAGGATGTAAGTAAATCCTAAGACTGTTTTATCAGCTTTCATTCCCTCGGTTAGACCTTTTAATCAGACCTCCCTGTCTGTGTACCACCACTAAAAGCTGTACAATGAAAAGGTAAGAGATGATAATGTTTTAGAACCTGCCAATCCTGGTGAAGGACGTGCTGTTTGTATGCAGTAAAAGCTACAGGAAGTGCCTGCAAAGCTCAACACAGGGAAGCTATCTTTATTAAAAATTACAATTATAACCAGAGGAAAGAACTACATGGCTTCTAGATTTTCCAAGGAACAAAATCCAAGAGACTTATATTCTGAATCTGCATGAAACATTACATACCCTTGGAATATTACAGCTTTCTGTTTGGTAAAGATATAGCCCTGATAACATAAGATACCCTTAAACATTCAAACAGGAAATTGCTTGGTAAATCACATTTCCATTCAAATGATTTGGTTTTTGGTTTGGCTTAAGCTGTGTGGGATCAAGTTCATGACTGGTACCACGGGTCGTAACACAAATAACCACAGTGCAAAAACTAAATAAAGCAGCTAGCAATCTCCACGTGGATTCAAGCCGAAGTCAGACAATTTCCCATGGGCTATTTCTGCACACGACGTGCGTCCTTGATTTCTGTGCATTTTGAGACAGCACAGTATGTTTCCAGTTCTGTTTATTCATACCGTGGTTAAAGATAGTATGCTGGCTAAACTAAATAAACTAACCCCCAGTGGGATATAAATGGCCTGTTCCTGTCAGAAAGTGACACGCAAGCCAATTTATACAAGATCTTATGTTAAACCAGGGAAATTCTTGATCTTGTTGGACTGAGGTTTTTGTTTTAAAAATGTCTGCAATAAACACTGACGGTTGCTATGTGGTATCATGCAGGGGGGTTGCAGAGAAATAGCTCTTTGGGTTTCAGAAAGCTAAGATTATCTGCACATACCTTTTCTGTACATTCAGGAAACCAAAAAGTCAGCTGTGAGATGTTTCTTTACGCATTGCACAAAACCTCTCACTCTGACATGCAACCTTTAACCACATCCTGTTCTGACTTCTTTACTGTGGCAGTAGAATGGACCAATAGATGAAGTCTTTAATGTGTGCGCTTAGTGGCTTTGCGCTTAGTGGCTTTGCGCTTAGTGATTATTTCAATAAAGCAACACAATTAAACAAACATTTTCTCTGGTTAAGTCTGAACGCACTCTCCACACATAAATGCAGTTCAACATCATGCCCCAATATTACGCAGACCACAATAGAGCCTCAACAGACATAATGACTGACTTATATCCAGGATGAAAAGCAACAGGACAACTCTCTGTCTGCTTAAATAGATCAATACCATTCTTTGTATGCAACAGATTGTGCCTTAGCATCCAAGAATGCTTAGCACTGCAGAAATGACAGGAAGGCTTTTTGTGAATCACAAGTATATATGGGGGTGGACTGCATGCAAATGTAGTTTTGCAGTTTGCACCAGGGATAAGAGATTTTGCACCAAAATCTTGTGTGACTGGTGAGTGCCAGGAACTGGGGAGTGGACTTCCTTCCGGAGTCTTCCCAGTCAAGGGAACACTGCTCCCACTCCTCCATCTCTGGCTCCATACCACTCAAGACTACATTTGAAGGGCTACAGCTGCTGTTACATGCACTGATCATTTTAAACAGATTGGACCTCAACCCACACCTCAATCTGTAATGATGGCACTGCAGGTGTTTTCAATCTTCCGTCAAAAGGCACAGTACATGCTGCTACATCACAGATTGGACAGCAACAAGCTTGAAAGTCTATTTTACAGAACAACAGTCTTTTGTATAAGCCAGAAGAAATGAGGAAGCACATAAGTTGTTTCTGTATAAATGTCAACAGTAGAGTAGTTGCTTTTCATTCTTCTGATTAGGAGATCCAGTAGCTGCCCACAAAATGACCTTTGCTATTTGATTAGCTCTGCAAGTCTTCATATTCAGTATGCATCCGGTGTATTTGTCAAACAGTGAGAGGTAAGGGCCGTGTTCCTGTGTGTGCTTTGAGCGCTGCAATAGCCATTGTGAACTAGGAAAAGCAATAGGAAGAGCAGGGAGGGCGATTAAAGTGAAACTGTTGCCCCCATGGCTGTTCCGGCCTGTGTGGTGGTGGGACAATGGGGGGGAGGAAACCCTTCTGCTCTCCTGTTTCACACCCGCCCTGCCCACCCCCTGTTTCCTATGTTATCACCCTTCAATGGTTTGAGAAGCCCTAATTACACTTGGAGATGTTTCAGAATCCGGTTTATATGCAGAAACACAGAATATTCTCTGGTGTATTCCGCATGGACCAACAAAACATTACTACAATAAAAAAAGATGTATAATTCAAACTTTTAAATACAAAAGTTAAGCAGGAATGTGAAAACTATATTAGTGAATGTGCAAAGGTTCATATTATTTACTGAGTTACCAATTTGAGAAAAATACAAACAAAATAAAAAAAACATAGATATGCTACCTTTGATATTCTGTTTTTTGTTGCTGTGTTGTTTGAATAGACTTTGCCTTTGCTCTAAAGTGATGACTCCTTTAAATGCACAAATTGAATTTGAAAATGTATGCATGCAGTTAATTCTCACTTAAGCCCGAGAGCCAAACAAAGTTAATGCTAGGTTGTCAGCTATGAAACCCCGTTATACCCATCAGATGTATTTCAGGTATGGGTTACTGACAAGACCAGACCTTATTAAAATATGTTGTATGTTCCTTTTATCAAATGTTGTGCCAATTTGGGTGGGGTTACCACAGTGTCAGCACTATCTCAACTGTGGCGCAGTGGATAGAGCCTTCGTGTTGGGATCAGGGGGTCACAGGTTCAAACCCCACTGCAGTCAGCATGTCGTTGTGTCCCTGGGCAAGACACTTCACCCCAAATTGCTCCTGTGGGGATTGCCCACAGTATTGAATGTATGTAAGTCGCTTTGGATGAAAGCGTCTAACAAGTAATGTAATGTTTATACCAGGTGTAAACCGACAGCTTTGCTTCGCCTCGGTCTGGAACAAACAGGACTTCTTCTACTTGTGTACACCACACATCTGTGTTTTGGCTGCATTATGGATCTAAGTTTCCTCCTCTGATCTCGGCTCTCAGGATCCTGATAGCCCCTCAGGGCCCAGAAACAGGCCTTCCTTTGTTTTAAGCTTGAATGCCACCTGTTTAGGAAATGCTGCCTCCGACAGCTTTTACATAGCAAAATAGCCTGAGTGAATTAATTAAACATGTCTTTATATATTTGTAAAATACAGAGTTTAACCATTTATACTTATTTTTTGCAAGAGTAGGTTGTATTCTCTTCTGGTTTGAAGAAGTGGAGACTACTAACCAAAACGTACTGGTAAATCCGCTGTCCTTTCACTTGCATCACTTCTCTACCTGTGTTTGTACAAGCTGCCCCCACATGCACCTCAAACTCCACCCTCTTTCACACCTAATGTAATGATAATGATTATCTAACTCATTACAGGGTGTTAATGAAACCAGCAGGAGGATCCCAGATTAGCCCTGACACAAACAAACACACACACACAGAAACTGTTCCAGAGTTTCATTTAAAGCTTGTGGCATCTTTCTGCAACAGGAAGTGATCAAATGTGGCACTACAGGCTGTACCTGGTAAAGCAGCGTTCAGTTATTATGCTCCAAATATCTGGAACAAACTCCCAGAAACCTGCAGGTCCGCTGCAACTCTGACTACTTTTAAATCCAGGCTGAAGACTTTTCTTTTTGTCGCTGCTTTTAATTGAACTATTCATATCTTAGACTGCACTGTAACTTTTATTCATGTATTTTTTCTTTTAATGTTTATTTTAATATCTTTTCTTTTTAATGACTGATTTTAAATGCCATTTTCTTAATGTCTTTCATTTTTTGTAAAGCACTTTGAATTGCCTTGTGTTGAAAAGTGCTATATAAATAAACTTGCCTTGCCTTAACGTGAACAAGGAAGTTGTTAAGGGTCAATGATGCCGGTCACTATTCTCAGGTATCCATGACATTCAATTACAGTCGTTTGATGAGTCTTTTACTTTGGGAGCCAATTTGCTAGAAACCTGTTTGTGTTTGTGTTCTTTAAATAATGGGAACACTCAGTTTCTCATAGTTTTAACCTTCCTGTTCCTCTAAATGTTCTTCAAACATTTAGCCATTTCACTTAAGGGTTGTGTAATGACAGCCTAACATGTTTACAACATAATTGTTCATTTAACTGTTGCAACAAGGCAGCGGAAATATTGTTTTGAAAGTGTAAATGGCCCTTTTTGTAATTTGGAAACACATGCACGTCCATCATTTCAACAAAGTGACTTAATTGGTATCAACTAGTTTGCCAGCTTCCTCTCTCTTCATGGATCCTGTCTGTTTTTTAATAATGTGATGATGTTGTTAAACTGTTTCTTTTAGAGACACACATTGGATTGTTACTAACCAAAGATAGCTGTTCCTCTGTTTTGACTAGAAGCAGAGTCAAGGCTCTGTGAGTTACTGGCAATGGTGTATCCTTGGGCTGTATAGATAATCACCAGTGTGGGAGACACAACGTTACCAGAAGGCCACTGGTGTTTGGGTATTTTTTAGTCTTACTCACTGCATGTCAAACATCAGACACCTTAAAAACCAACACATATTTGTCAGACATTTACGTTTTTAAAGATCTTACAAGGTCAAAGAAGAAAGAGGGGGACTCCCCTTCCACCATTATCTTCCTATTAATCATGCACATGCAGTATGCCCACACAACTGCTGCACATAAACACCTACAGACTGTGTGTCCCGGGCCAGGCCCGTTCCTGTCGACTATATTGATGCTGCACTCTTTTAATGATTTATTCATTTAGTACAGGGGATCAATGCAAGCTCTGACAGAACAGGAGGAGAAGCAGTGTAAAATGCGAGAGTGAGCCTAAGCATCCTGTGGACTTTATTGAACATGTTTTGACTGTGCTATTGTCCTTCAGGGAGTTGTATCTAGACCAAGGGGAAGAGACTAGAGGTGCTGATTATTGCCCTGTTTATCCCAAGTCCTGTTTTGTGGAGGAGAAACCCATTATTGGCAGGGTGGCACAAACAGCTGTTGTCTTATAGGCTGGAAGGAAGGAAACCTCCAAACAAAGAAGATACAACAGGCCAAAGGGAGGGCACTGTGAAGTCCTAAAGTTAGATTTTAGTCTTTTTATTGCAGCCTTCAAGTTTACAGGCCTGTATAAATATCTCAAAATACAATATACTTTAAAACATTACAACACAGTCTTCAAATTAGTTTTCAATGGGCATCTTAGTACCTGCAAACATTTTCTTTAGATTTTGTCCATGATGGGTCAGCCTAAATTTCAGTAAACACCATTAGTTGCCTTTGACGGACTTATCTCCAGAGCTTATCTCAACAGACCAAATCCTAAATCGAAAAGTGATAACCTCAGCGAGGTCTCCGAGGCGTTTGAAGTGCAGCAGCCCGGAGGCAACAGCTGTTTCTGACTTCTCCTCCTGCGTCAGTTGCCTCAACATCAAGCAGTGCCAAAGTCATTGAAATAATAAATTCCCGCATTTGATTAGAGCTCCCACGAAACGCGAGATTTCTGTAAAATGTAGCAACAACATTTCAGTCGGAAAATGTAAATTACTGGAAACCCCTGAACGCATCCTGTGTAGACGCACATAGCGTAGGAAAGCGTTCTTGATACATGTTGTGTACGTCGGCTAAGTTGTGTATAGGTTTACATTTCCGACCATTTTAAGACTCCTCAGTCTAAAAACGACAACGACCACTGTCTAATTTGCTGCGGTGTTATAAAGCTAAGTTTAGAGTGGCTTTACACTCCACTACATCCCATGGGGTGGGGCTTTAAAACAGCTTCACACCAGATGTTCCGTCTCAAAACAACAACAGCAGCGACCGAAGCAAAGCTTAAAACTGTGTTCCCGGCATAAATGTTTACAGAGACAACATGCATGTCAATAGAATAATATAAATATGCACGTGCAGTATTGTTCTTCTTAAAAGCATGCAAAATGAGCCAAATCACATTCGTGCACTTGGCTACGAATAAGTCAGACAAAAGTTTCCGTCTGTTAAATTGACCGAAGTTTCAGGTAATATTATGTGAAATAAACGTGATGGCTGTCTTGACACCGTACAGATCAGGCGAATTGAGTTTCTATTGGAAGTCAATTCATGAATTTGTCCCGCTATATTTCAACGCAACTTGCACTTTTACACATTAAAATGTACTGAAAGATAACTTCATCTAGGCTATCTTTAACCATGTGTCAATGAGTTTCGTTCCGTACCAAAAACAAATACTACTGTTCCCCATCAATGAGCTCAGTTAATTGGTTTGTAGAATTGTCAACAAGTTCCCACATGCCATGCCGCTCAGTTAGCCAGTTTTACAGCTCTAAATAGATGAGTGATCTTTTCGAACTTACCTCCACTAATGCAGAGCAAAACTGAGAAAACCCAAAAAACGGACTTCTTTCCCCAGAGTGATGTCCGACAGAGTAGTCCCCTCTCCATGGCTGTCTGGATGTTTAATTAAAAAAAAGTAGCAGAAAAGTGTTTGACTTATCAACTATAACTGGCTTACTGGAAATCTTTTTTTCTCTCGCTTAAACTATGCACACTCTGCTAACGCTACACCAAAACACACAGAAGTGGTTGACATTCCCTTTTCTCAAAGTTGACTTGATCCTTCTGAACTTTGAAGCGCAAAGCAACGTGATACCAGGCATCAGCTCCTCCCCTTCTGTCAGTCTCACTCTCTCCCTCCCTCCCTCCTTGTGCCCCACCCCCATGAGTGTAGCAGTGATGAAGACAACTTTCAAAATCGAATTAAATACATAATAATTACACCGGAAAACATTCTTAGTCCTGGTTTTATAAAAATGTAATTTGATAGGTACTTTACACAAAATCAAGAATTCTGAGTGTTGTTTTTAAAAATCGTGGTCATGAAGAGACGTGTTGAAAATAATGGTTACATTGAGATATTCTAAAGTTTAGTTTAAAAGCGTAGACCTCACTGTTCAAAACGTTTCCCATAATGCAACTTAATTTATCTTTCAATAGAGCCCCCAGTGTAGTAAATGCCGAAGCACTTTTTGATAACATCACAAGAGGTATTTCTTGACTTGACAAAGCTTCTTCAGAATGTGTTAGTCTAATTCTAATTATTTGTCGTCTTTCACTCTCCTAAACACTCATGAACATACAATTTACAGCTTATTAATGTTGTGACATTCCAAGACCTGTTATACCTCTAACCGTCACAGCCAGTCAGTTGGACTGGGAGGACAACTCGGGGGGGGGGGGGGACAAGGAGGTCCGACTGGTGGAGCAGGAACTGATTTAAAAACCTGAATTCCACATGATGATACTTTTGCTTTTGTATTAACATTTTTAAATGGTTTGAAATGACTTTTTAGTTATACACTTCTGTCTTCTTTCCACTTACACTGCAGATTAGCAGTGAACACTGCTAATCTTAAGATTTCCTTTTGGTTTTCTCAAGATATCTTCCCCTGTGTGTCACAAAGAACACTCCTACTATCTTTTCTCATCGTCCAATGTTAAATGAACCCTCAAATCATGTTTCAACATGCACATAATGAGTGAAGACAGCAAATCCTGTGTTTCCTTTCTAGCAGAATACCTTATACTGTAAGTCACAATGGCCGTGAACACTATCAAAAAAACATAATTAACAGACAATCTTGCTGGTGTGGGGTTTACTTGCTTGAGCTTTACTCTTTAATATGATGATAAATCACTGTAGGATCTTTCACATTACAGTGATGAATGGACTACATGTTCACACTTACACTTAGCTGCACACCCAGCTGACACCCTATGCTGAAATTGGAAACATATTGTCAGCTGAGTTTAACACAATAACCCATAAATAGTAGATGCATCAGTAAAAGTTGTCTCTGTTTCTCACACAGACCTCCACCACCATCTATGTTCACATCGTGGATGAGAACGATAACGCTCCAGAGTTTCCGGAGGAGGAGTACGTCACGGTGTTAAGTGAGGGTCCGGAAACAGTGGGTGCCACCATCGCCACGGTAACAGCCATCGACCCAGACGAGGGTCTGAACGGCACCTTGAGATATGCTATCGCTCAGGGAAACCTGATCCAGACCTTTAATATAAACAACATCACGGTGAGACACAATGACTGTTATACTGTAGTTTTACTTCTGCAATAAAACACACTTTTTGTGTATAATGTGTTTGTGTGTCTGTGTGTGTGTGTGTATTTAGGGGAGGATTACAGCCGTAAAGGAGCTGGACTACGAGATCAGCAAAGGACACTACGCGCTGGTTGTTACAGCAACAGACCAGTGTAAAAATCCTGCTCTTCGTCTGACCTCAAGCACAACAGTAAATACCAAAGAAAAAAACACCTTTTAAACTATTGACTTAAATAGGTTGAACATTTCAGAGCTAAGAAAATAAATGCTTAATTTTTATTTATTTATTTCTAACCAGAGAAAATCAACTGTCAATGTTGATTCTCATTCAGCTATGAAAGGAGCAAGAATGCTAAAGATGAGTTGGTTCCTGCTACTCCAATGGTAGTTTGCTATGGTTTGCAAACAAAATAATTGAACTGACAGGACAGCCAAGACATCCCCTTAAAACTTTGTAAACTAGCTTATTAGCAGTTATTGGTTTCTTGTAAAAATAGAGAGATTTAACAACAATGGTTCTCAACTGCAAGAAATCCCAGAACTTTTAATTGAGGACTGTGAAACCTGCAGAAACTCCAATAGAACATGTATATATGTGCTCAGTTCAGTTGATGATTCCACAATCCATTATCTCTACTTCACATGCATAGTGAAGTCCTTTTAGTTTATGTGTAATATAATGTGTGCATCTGGATCACCAGCTCCAACATTTGAATTGAATTTTCAAGTGGGGAAATCCTTTACATATACAATTCTCTCTTCCTCATTCTTTAGGTGCTGGTAAGTGTCCTCGATGTGAACGATGTGACACCAACTTTCCCCAGAGCCTTTGAGGGACCCTTCGAGGTGACTGAGGGACAGCCGGGTCCTCGGGTCTGGACTCTTAAAGCCAGCGATGAAGACTCTGGGCTCAACGGGAAAGTGGAGTACAGCATCACCGGCGGAGATCCCCAGAGTTAGTACCGTATTCTCCTGTATTCTGTAATACTTCTATTAAATCCTCACTATGTGTCCCTAAGCCTGTCTCTTTCTCTCTCTGTCAGATGAGTTCATGGTTTCTCCAGTCGAGGGGGAGCTTCGGGTGAGGAAGGATGTAGAGCTGGACCGAGAGACAACAGCCTTCTATAACATCACCGTCACAGCACGAGACCTGGGCACCCCGTCTCGCAACACCTCGGTGGGCCTTCATTACACAAACACACACAAACACATTCAAGCAGCCGCACTCTCGTCAGATCCTCTTTAACAATCAGGATCTTGTAAGCTTCACTTTTGTGCTGCAATCGGCTGGCAATCCTGTTTCTTACAAAATATGTTCCATACATTCTAATACATACAATTAGACCACATTTTCTAATACAATTCGAAGAAAACTTGTGTTCTCATGGAGTAAATGGAAATAAAAAAATATGCAAGTACTTATTTCATGTAACGTGAAATAAGTACTTTGTTAGGTTTAGTTAGAAAAACATCATGGTTTGGCTTAAAATAAGTATGTTAATTGAAAAATGTAAACATTGACATTTGGTTTCACAAGGGACATGAACAGCTGTCTCCTGGGTGAAAGTCCTGTGTTTGTTTTACCCAGCCATCCCGCAAAACCTCTGTGATACATGAATGTTTGTGGAGTGTGATGACGTATTTGTGTGTCTTTAAAAACAAACACAGTCTGGGAAGAAATGACTTTGCTTTAAGTGATAATGTAGTATCTTTGTGTGAGAACGCAATTTTTAGGAGACAAGATACATACACTACACGTGTAAATATACTGAAGTTAAATGTATATTTTATGTTTCATTTATGAGCAGTGTCACCAAGACATTTATTTTTTGTGTTGTTTTGTGAACTGTCATGAGTTTGAAGTTGTATTCTTCTCTTGCCGTGTTTTTTCTTCAGGTGGTGGTGGGAGTCAATGTCCGAGACATCAACGACAACGACCCAGTCCTCTTGAACCTGCCTTACAACACCAGTGTGAGGGAAGGAGCCACCATACACACCGCTGTGGCCCGGGTCCAAGCCCGAGATGCAGACAGCGGACGCAATGCTCTGCTCACTTACAACATCACCGCGGGCAACCAGGATGGAGCCTTCTACATCAATGACACGGTGAGAAAAAGGGGTGGTGTGTTTTAAAGTTGAGTAATTTCAAAACCCCTGTCCTCCAGTGTTTTCACTTTTCACTATGCAGGCACACAGGCTCAAAACTAAGCCTGATCTTAATTTACTTAGAAACATAAAAATCTGACCTTGACTAATGCGGTAAAGCTATAGCAGCAGGTGGTGAAAAAGGGGAAGCACGGTGCGAGACATTTCTCGTGACTGGAAGGAGCCAGATTTAAACGTGCATTATGCTCCATGCTTTAATGTTCAAAAAGCTCTTTATTCTGATGGTGCAGCATCATCTTCTTTCACCCTCTGTCTGAAACCAGAGCCCAGTCTGCTCTGTCAACCACTTAGAAATGTCCCGCCCCTTAGCCTATCACGTACAAAGTGTTGGAGCGCTAGCCATTAGAAGCGTGAGTGTTACATAGTGATGTCAAAAATGTTATGGAAGTAAACAAAAGAGTCCAATTGAGGCGTTTCTGGCAGGGGGGTACGAGAGAAACTCCCTCTGGAGGGAGCACAGGGATTTTAACTTCTGGAGACCATTAACATTCACAAAAACCCACTACAGGAAAGTGAAAAGCCGAAAAGCATTATAGGGCCTGTTCAAATGTCTTCCAGCTACCATTAATGTTAAGTCTGCACCTAACACTGCTACACCATTGCTAGACACATTTGTGGACTCACAGAATAAATATATACCAGAGAATACTGATACCTCATTTAGAGCTTTAGAGAAGGTAAAACACTTGTACCGTGTTAGCATCAGGGTTTACATGGGCATTATGAAATAAAACATACTGTCATACGGAGAATGAATCTGTAAGCACACTCACAGCTTCCCTCTTCCCTTTGTGTCTGTCAGACAGGTGTGGTGCAGGTGAACAGACCCCTGGACAGAGAGCGGGTGTCAGAGTACAGACTCACCATCACCGTCAAAGACAACCCCGAGAACCCCCGCATCGCTCGCAGGGTAATCCCACTCTCATGTGCACACATACTGCTAGAACTCACACCTGTTTTTATAACAGAGAGATCTTTGGTATATTTTCATGTCACTTTTTTATGAATTAATAACAGGCAGTCTTGAATTTCAGGGGCTACTGTAGTAAAAGTAATACATTGGATTAAAATCCCTTTTTACTCCAAAATATTTTTACCATAATGTAAATAAGCTGCCTTAAAGGTGGGGTAGGTAATTCACTTCAGAAACACTTTGTGTTATATTCCATGGATTGCTCTTAACATCCCGATAGCAATGAATAAATTAAATGCTTTGACAATAAATATATACAAATATTTCATCTGTGGAAGCCGTAGCACTGTAAAAAGCACGACCAATCATTTTAGCCGGCCCGGCTGAAGTAACTGGATGGCCTACCTGCCTGTCAGCCTTCC